ATATATATATAGTGCCTTGCGAAAGTATTCGGCCCCCTTGAACTTTTCAAACTTTTGCCACATTTTAGGCTTCAAACATAAAGATGTAAAATTTTATTTTTTTAATTTTTTGAGAAGAATCAACAACAAGTGGGACACAATCGTGAAGTGGAATGAAATTTATTGGATGTGTCAAATTTTTTTACCAAATAAAAAACTGAAAAGTGGGGCGTGCAATATTATTTGGCCCCTTTACTTTCAGTGCAGCAAACTCACTCCAGAAGTTCAGTGAGGATCTATGAATGATCCAATGTTGTCCCAAATGACTGATGACGATAAATAGAATCCACCTGTGTGTAATCAAGTCTCTGTATAAATGCACCTGCTCTGTGATAGTCTCAGGGCTCTGTTCAAAGCGCAGAGAGCATCATGAAGACCAAGGAACACACCAGGCAGGTCTGAGATACTGTTGTGGAGAAGTTTAAAGCCGGATTTGGATACAAAAAGATTTCCCAAGCTTTAAACATCCCAAGGAGCACTGTGCAAACAATCATATTGAAATGGAAGGAGTATCAGACCACTGCAAATCTACCAAGACCCGGCCGTCCCTCTAAACTTTCATCTCCAACAAGGAGAAAACTGATCAGAGATGCAGCCAAGAGGCCCATGATCACTCTGGATGAACTGCAGAGATCTACAGCTGAGGTGGGAGAGTCTGTCCATAGGACAACAATCAGTCGTACACTGCACAAATCTGGCCTTTATGGAAGAGTGGCAAGAAGAAAGCCATTTCTCAAAGATATCCATAAAAAGTGTTGTTTAAAGTTTGTCACAAGCACCTGGGAGACACCAAACGTGTGGAAGAAGGTGCTCTGGTCAGATGAAACAAAATCAAACTGTTTGGCCACAATGCAAAACAATATGTTTGGTGTAAAAGCAACACAGCTCTTCACCCTGAACACACTATCCCCACTGTCAAACATGGTGGTGGCAGCATCATGGTTTGGGCCTGCTTTTCGTCAGCAGGGACAGGGAAGATGGTCAGAATTGATGTGAAGATGGATGGGGCCAAATACAGGACAATTTTGGAAGAAAACCTGTTTGAGTCTGCAAGAGACCTGAGACTGGGACGGAGATTTATCTTCCAACAAGACAATGATCCAAAACATGAAGCCAAATCTACAATGGAATGGTTCACAAATAAACGTATCCAGGTGTTGGAATGGCCAAGTCAAAGTCCAGACCTGAATCCAATTGAGAATCTGTGGAAAGAGCTGAAGACTGCTGTTCACAAACGCTCTCCATCCAACCTCACTGAGCTCGAGCTGTTTTGCAGGAAGAATGGGCAAGAATTTCAGTGTCTCCATGTGTAAAACTGATAGAGACAAACCCCAAGAGACTTTCAGCTGGAACTGCAGCAAAAGGCGGCGCTACAAAGTATTAACGCAAGGGGACCAAATAATATTGCACGCCCCACTTTTCAGTTTTTTATTTGTTAAAAAAGTTTGACACGTCCAATAAATATCATTCCACTTCACGATTGTGTCCCACTTGTTGTTGATTCTTCACAAAAAAATATTTTTTATATCTTTATGTTTGAAGCCTGAAATGTGGCAAAAGGTTGAAAAGTTCAAGGGGGCCAAATACTTGCGCAAGGCACTGTATACATATGTATGTATGTGTATATATATATATATATATATATATATATATATATATATATATATATATATATATATATATAGGTCCTTCTCAAAAAATTTGCATATTGTGATCAAGGTAATTATTTTCCATAATTTAATGATAAAAATGAAACTTTCATATATTTCAGATTCATTGCACACCAACTGAAATATTTCAGGTCTTTAATTGTTTTAATACTGATGATTATGGCATACAGCTCATGAAAACCCAAAATGCCTGTCCCAAAAAATTAGCATATTTCATCCCACCAATGAAAGACAAGTGTTTTTAATACAAAAATCGCCAACCTTCAAATAATCATGTTCAGTTATGCACTCAATACTTGGTCGGGAATCCTTTTGCATGAATGACTGCTTCAATGCGGCGTGGCATGGAGGCAATCAGCCTGTAGCACTGCTGAGGTGTTATGGAGGCCCAGGATGCTTCGATAGCGGCCTTAAGCTCATCCAGAGTGTTGGGTCTTGCGTCTCTCAACTTTCTCTTCACAATATCCCACAGGTTCTCTATGGGGTTCAGGTCAGGAGAGTTGGCAGGCCAATGGAGCACAGTAATACCATGGTCAAACCATTTACCAGTGGTTTTGGCACTGTGAGCAGGTGCCAGGTCGTGCTGAAAAATGAAATCTTCACCTCCATAAAGCTTTTCAGCAGATGGAAGCATGAAGTGCTCCAAAATCTCCTGATAGCTAGCTGCATTGACCCTGCCCTTGATAAAACACAGTGGACCAACACCAGCAGCTGACATGGCACCCCAGACCATCACTGACTGTGGGTGCTTCACACTGGACTTCTGGCATTTTGGTATTTCCTTCTCCCCAGTCTTCGGCACCTTGATTTCCGAATGACATGCAAAATTTGCTTTCATCCGAAAAAGTACTTTGGACCACTGAGCAACAGTCCAGTGCTGCTTCTCTGTAGCCCAGGTCAGGCACTTCTGCCACTGTTTCTGGTTCAAAAGTGGCTTGACCTGGGGAATGCGGCACCTGTAGCCCATTTCCTGCACACGCCTGTGCACGGTGGCTCTGGGTGTTTCTACTCCAGACTCAGTCCACTGCTTCCGCAGGTCCCCCAAGCTCTGGAATGGGCCCTTCTCCACAATCCTCCTCAGGGTCCGGTCACCTCTTCTCGTTGTGCAGCGTTTTCTGCCACACTTTTCCCTTCCCACAGACTTCCCACTGAGGTCCCTTGATACAGCACTCTGGGAACAGCCTATTCGTTCAGCAATTTCTTTCCGTGTCTTACCCTCTTGCTTGAGGGTGTCAATGATGGCCTTCTGGACAGCAGTCAGGTCGGCATTCTTACCCACGATTGCTGTTTTGAGTAATGAACAAGGCTGGGAGTTTTTAAAAGCCTCAGGAATCTTTTGCAGGTGTTTAGAGTTACGTCGTTGATTCAGATGGTTAGGTTAATAGCTTGTTTAGAGAACCTTTTCATGATAAGCTAATTTTTTGGGACAGGCATTTTGGGTTTTCATGAGCTGTATGCCATAATCATCAGTATTAAAACAATTAAAGACCGGAAATATTTCAGTTGGTGTGCAATGAATCTGAAATATATGAAAGTTTCATTTTTATCATTACATTATGGAAAATAATGACCTTTATCACAATATGCTAATTTTTTGAGAAGGACCTGTATATAAAAAAATACTCCTTAAGTAGCCACAGTCCAGTAAATACACGGTGCTTAATCATTTGCAGCTGACCTTTGGTGCGCCGACACACTGATATTCTTAATAAAAGATGTGATAACAGACACCATGCTGGGAGCTTATTCTGCCCGGTGGAAAGTGCACTTGAGCGTGAGAGTCACTGTGTGTGGAAGTGTGTTTGGACATATGGTCGGGATGCACCATATGCGCATGCAGGGCGTTCAACGTGCCAGCAGCCTCTGGCATCTTTCTGGACTTCTCCCCAACTGGCTGCTGTCTTGGCGGGAGCAGTGGTTCTTGATTCAGGGTGAAAACGTTCTTCCTTTAAACAAGCTGTCAATGCAGCAGCCTTCACCTGGGTGTTTGAGGCCCCTGGGAGATTGCTGGATTATTTAAAGATCAAGACAAGATTGCTTTATTTTGTAATTCTGAAAGTTTTGTCTATGAATTTAAAGTGTACAAATACGCCCAGGACATCCTTGTAAAATAGAGTAATAATCTCGATGGATTTATTTTCTGGTAAAATAAAGGTTTAAATAAAAATAAAATAAAATACAGCAAATGGCTTGCAGCGTATGTTCATGCAGGTATAAATAAAATCCTACCCTGGTGAAATGAAAAAGAAGTTAAATATTTGTTTTTGGCTTTAAAATCATCTAATTTTGAAGATTTAGTGCCAATCTCTGCCAAAATAGTGATATATGAGCTCTTTTTGAAAATGTACATGAATACATAATTGTCAAATAGGATCAAAATTAATGGAAAATGTTTATTGAGGGATTTCTGATGGTTTTAAGCTCCTTTTGCCATCTGAGGACAAATATCTACAGCTCGGCCACCAATCAGCCAGCTAACCAAACTAAATTCTGTTGTGAAAAGTTTGTGTATGTAAAACAATGTTTTGGTCACTTTTTAAAATGAGTTCTCTGTTTGGCATATTGAGCTAACAGTGTGGCAACTGATGTTAGTGGATGGTCAATAATGGGAGGACGCCTGTTTGGCCACTGATAGCAGTGGTACATAATCTATTAGATTCCAGTTGTATGTAAATATGATCAGGTTTTAAAAGCACCTTTTTGTTGTTCTTTTTAACCATTTAGCAGTAGTTGGAGACCAGTTTAACCCCCTTTATCCTACTTTTTACTACTAAGTTTGTGCAGGAGTACTTCCTGGATCCCACTGGGTCCAAGGTTTTCTTGAATGTCAAAAAGACTCAAAGGCTCTCTCTTCTTAAAACTGATAAAAATGACTTTATTTCTATGGTATGGTCATATAAAGCAGTTTTTAAAAAAGGCATTTCAGTTCAAACTGTTAATTAATGTTTTTTTCTGTTGACTTGATGACACAAACCATGCTTTTGTCACTGGACTGTGCTCTGGAAAGAGAACAGCATTGGGTTAAATATGCTATTGACCTCAGGAATGTTTTTTTCTGGAGGCTAAAGGAAACGATGCCTGATTTAATTTTCAGACTTTATCTTCTTATATAGACTTAACTGCTTATGCACTCAGGATGTGCACACAAACAGTTCACTGTCTAATTCACATTCAAGGATCTCATTTTCACTTTCACATGCAGTAATTCTCATAACCACTAGAGGTTGAGTATTATTATTCCCAGCATGCACAAATGACCAATGGGGTCCTTTATTCACTTTCTGAGGTCACTCTCACTATATTATGTGCACAAAGTCTATTTCTAGTACAAGTTATATGAGGTTTGATCACCTTTTCACCCAAAAACACATTTATTGTCCCCACAATGTTTCTCATTGACTCTAAGCAATGACCTCAAACAGTCCTGTGATTAATAAACACCGTATGTGGAGCAGCCTCCTAGTTAGATGCCAGAAACTTGGCTGTGTGCCATTGTTAGCCATTTTAAAGTTTAGGAGCTCTAGTTGTTTATAACACCTTATTTTGTAACGCGGAAGCCTCTCTGCATTTTAAAACTCATAGCCTTGTTAAATACAGACTGACAGTCAGAAAGCTAACATTAGCTTTATTTAATTAAAACAAACTGAACATCATGCATACTAAAAAGTCAAAGACAGGGGTTCAAATGTAAAAAGAGCAGAAATTAAAGCTGAAACTAGGACTAAAACGAGCGACAGGAGTAAAATCTGTCTGTGGAAGTAAACCAAAGATGCTAAACAAGAAGCTAAAGCAGGGATGTCAAACTCAATTAAAAAAGGGTGGGGCCAAAATCAAAACCTTTGTCAAACTAAGGGCTAATTTCAGAAACTACATTAACTGAAATCAGATACCCAACATGTTTTCTTGGCCACAGTTTCCTCAACAAGAGTTCGATTGGTCTCATTTGATGTTCTCTGTTGTGCTTTCGACATCATAATCAAAGATTAATGAAAAAATCAAGAGATAGAAGTGTTTTATGTTTCACATACAATCTTGGGGGCCAGATAAGATGTCAACGAGGGACACATTTGGCCCCCGGCCCTTGAGTTTGACACGTGAGCTAAAGCAATTCAAAGCAAAGAAAGAAGATCCTGAACATGAACTACACACATGGAAAGAACAAGAAAATAACACCGAACCAAAGAATGACAACGCAAACGTCTATGAACGTAAATAAAACTATAAAACAAACAAAAAAATCCTTAAAAAGAAACAAAATTTGATCGATCAAACTCCACAGTTCCCTGTATTTAAATGTTCAAGCTATGATTGTCTCACACGTGAAGTGATTTCAGGCTAATTTATGATAGAAATAAGCTAAATAATATTTTATATAAATGATTTATAGGTGATTACTTAATCAGCTGTCTGAGATTTAGTGGCTTTTTTTATTATAAATTTTTATATGTTTATATATATTTTTATATATATTTATATTTTTACATTTTTTTCTGATCTCTTAGGGATTAAAACAATGAGCTGATCAAAGGAGTAATTGCTGGATGAATCAATAATGACAGTAATGTTTATAATAAAATGAGCGCCATGTTGTCTAACCCCTCAAAAGTGTCCTGCTTTTAACTCAACAAACGAGTATTAATAATGTCTGACTGCTGTCTGTTTAACGTGCCTGTGACATGCATTTCCTGCAAATACAAAAAAAAAGGAGGAAACATCTTACCATTCATTGATAGTGCGCTTTATAGTCCGACAAATATGGTAATACTGAAGAAATTTGGCAAACACGCACAATTTTACTCATTTTGTCGCATAACAGGCGTATTGTTTTTTCAACAAAGTTCAGTCAGGTCCTCTGGACGATTTTTTTTTTTTTTTTTGAGACTTTTTCTCCTTCATCCAAAGGACTTCATCAATCCAAGGAGCCACAATAAACTCAGTCTCACAAGCAGCACGCTCCCATAGTGGGTCAACCAGTTTGATGGTGATAAGATGGTTTCTGGAGTCCGCCCTCTCCCCCATCAACTCCTCTGATCTGAGGCAGCCATAGCCAAAGTGGTTCAAAACATCAAAGTTCATGCTCAGTAATCCAGGTACAAAATCCAACAAAGTTCAGTCAGGTCATCTGGATGTTTGTTTGTTTGTTTGTTTTGGTCCACTATGGGAGTGTGCTGCCTGTGGGACTGAGTTTGTTGTGACTTCTTGGACTGATGAAGTCCTTTGGATGGCGGGTGAAACATCTCAACAAAAAAAGAAACCATCCAGATGAACAGACTGAACTTTGTTGGATTTTTTTACCTGGATTATTGAGCAGGAACTTTGACATATTGTTTTTGAACCTGCAGCAGACAAAGTGAAACAGGAAGTGACGACGAAGAGCAACTCCTTGGTCTTTGTTTATTTGAACTCTGACTCTCTGATAGTGACTCAAAATAATCTAAAGAAACATCTCGTTCTTCACGCGGCTGTGTTGTTAGCCGTTGTAGCAACGCTCTGTTTACATGCAGGTGTTCCTCTATGTCATCACTTCCTGTTGCTGCACATGTGAATATCTCAACAGCTGCACCATGATTATTTTTTTTTTAACTATACGTCATTAATGTCATCTTTCCAAAAACACATTCATATTTATTGAATTGAGTATTTGATGTCATAGGCACTTTAAATACTAAATCCACCTTGTTATATGTTTTAACAGTTATTTTCAGGCTGTGATCAAATACAAAGTGCAGTTCACTAAATGAAACCATCTCCTGTTGTTGGGTGCTCTCTGCTGGTCGAACCACAGAACTGTCCTCCACTCATGGCTGCAGACACACTTGTGCTGAACGCTGATCAAGGATCAGATTACCCTCTGCAGCCTCATCTTTAATTATTACTCATCCAGATGGTGAACTGATTGTAGATCAGTGATTATGGTCAGTTTCCTATGAACTCCGGGGGCTCTCCAGGAGATGATTGTAGAGGAGCTCTCAGCGGTGTCTCAATTGTCCGACTTTCTAAAGCTCCTAATCAAACTTGATTCACACCAGGCAAGCTGCTGAATGGACACTTTAGTCAATCAATGGCTTTAATTATTCAATTAAACCTCTAAGGAGACACTGGGACCCAGCCAGCGCTGCATCTTTAGAAGCAGCGGAATTAAATTTGTGTTTGTGTGGCTTTTAAATGAAAGGCACTCAAACTTCCCACGTAATGACTTTGTTTATCAAGTTTCCTGTCTCTTGCACAGCTAGTGGTGGTTTTTAATACAGAGGCTGTTCTCAACTTGGAGAAGATGACGCAACGGCACTATCTTTGTCTCTGAAGCAAATTATTTCACCTTAAATTGGAACAGAGGATTGTTTTTGAGTCTTAACCCGTGTCTTTCTCATTCAGGGGCATCGGGAAGCAGGGGTTCCAGTGTCAAGGTAGAGATAAAGCTGCTGTTGTTTGCTTCTCCTGCAGAATTTAATCTTCATGGATGTGTTTCTCTGCAAAAATACAGATTAAATGTTGAGGCTCATCTCCTCTGTTTTCTCCAGTTTGCAGTTTTGTTGTCCATAAAAGATGTCACGAGTTCGTAACCTTCACGTGTCCCGGATCGGTGACTGCCCCCAGACCTGATGTAAGCACGCACGCCAGTGTACACTTCCATTTTATTTATCTTTTTTAAGCATCCGCTTTTCCATCGTTGCCAAAATGTACAGCGCACTGTCATCTGCAAGTTGTTCCGCTCTTCGCTGGTGGCGTGAGTGCGTGACTCATCCGTCAAGCCGTGCATCTCTCAGCCTCGTCTCATCTGTGACGTCTGAGCTCGTGTCACGTCGTTCTACAAGAGATTCAGGGAGTTTAAGATGGGGGGGGGGGGGGGTTGATGAGAGGGAAAGAGCTCAGTCCTGTGTGTGTGTGGCATCTCGAGGATATTAGGAAGATTTGTCTTTTCCTCAGGAGGAGCAGGGTGACAGTGTTTTAAATAGCGACGGTGGAGGGAGTGCAGTTTGGGAGAGGGTGGGGTGTGGATGTGGTCGGAGGGAGATAAGAATGATTCATGACTACAGTAAATATACACTCCTGGATGCAGCCAACATCCTCTCCTACTGGAGAAATCTAATTGGCTTGTTCGAGGATGTCCTATATCAGCCATCACAAACCTCATGCACATCCAAAACATGGCCGCTCAGTGTTTTTTTTCTCATGGCGGGAATTCTCAGTTAACTTCGATGTTTCCTTTCAGGACCTGAAGAGTCGACACACGTTTAAGGTCCACACGTACTCCAGTCCCACGTTCTGCGACCACTGTGGCTCGCTGCTGTACGGCCTCTTACACCAGGGCATGAAATGCACCAGTGAGTTTCACCTCCCACCCCCATCAGCGCGCAGCACAGACACTGTTGGAGCACATTAATCAAGTTGCAGGTGCAAAGATCCGTGCACACAATTACCGAGCCTGCCTCTGCACACAGAAGGATTAAATGAATTAAGAAGTGAGCACAGTTAAAGAGGGGGGCAGTCGGATGCAGCAGCCAAGGAGAAGCTTTGGGATGTCGAGTGCTTTGAGTACTAGCTGTATGGAAGTCTACTCTGCTGCACCAGCCCACATTTAGTCCTGCAAATTGGCCCTTTTTTTTTTTGTTGTTGTTGTTTTGTTTTCTCATTTGTGTTAACAAAAAAATCTGTTCCAGACTAAATTAGTTTTTGGTGCAGTTTACAACAAAGGTTTACATTTTGTTACAACGTGTCGCAGAGAGTTCAATAAGTGGATTGGAGGAAGCTGTTACTCCTCCTGAAGAGATAAACGGAGAAAATGAACTCGCGTGTGAGATAATGTCAATATTTTACCTGCTGGCAGAAAAAGATTAGTTGTTCCTGTCATTACCTGATGTGAGCTGTGCATGACGCTCTGCCCTTCCCCCCTCGGTCTAAGTTTAAATATTTAAAACTTAGACATGCTGTAGCAACAAGATTTTGATGAGCTGCTACTTTATGATACACACATTATTGTTATTTAAGCTTTTTATTGGTAAATCTAATATCTTAAGCCTAAACTTATCGATTCAACCATAACTATGTGAAGAAGGTAAACATTAATGTTTAATTCAGGCTAATTACTTGAAAAATCAAATAATATGGAACAAAAAGTCCAAAGATACTGAAGGACATTGTACTTTTGACGTCTTGTCATGAAAAACATCCTCTCAGAGTCATCTGTGATCCGCAGTAGGAACCAGGTCAGATTGTGAAAAGACAAAAACAACTGCATCTAACATCTGTATGCCTTTATTTCACCCTCTGTGTTCTTGCAGCGCGTATCGTGAAGTGACTGGACTCCCGTCAGATTTAAATCTTTACGTTTCTCTCTGTAGCAGAAACATGGACGTAGTGTTGATCTCCTTATTGAACCTTGAATTACGGAGAGAATTGGTGCTTTTTCGAAAACAGTTGCCAAAAACCATTTATAGTAGTCCCTCGATTATCACGGGGGCTACGTTCCACACACTCCCAATGATAGGTGAAAAACCGCGAAGTAGGAACAGTATATTTATTTTAGTGTTTATATATTTTAAGGCTTTATAAACTCTTCCCACACTCTTGCAATGCTCTAAACTCTTAAACCTACATCATTTTAACAACTTATGTATATATGCTGTACAGTACTGCGAAGTTTTATTTGGGTACTCACCAGCTCTTCAGACCAGCAGCTCGATTCCGGTTCGGCTCGGTTCTGGTTCTGCAGACCCACCCTGCAACGACGAAGCCCACCACCCCGTCCAGGTTGATGTGCGTGTGGATAATTGAGCTTCAGGATTATTTGCCACTTTCCTGCCACTTCTGTGAGCTTCACAAATCGATCGTTACTTCTGAGTTTACGTTGCAAAACTTTCCCTCCATTTCGGCAGAAAGCAGCGGTCGGAAGCACTGTTGGCTTCTGGGCCGTGTAGTTCTTTTGACGTGCATTACAATGTAGGCTTAGTGAAAGAAAACTACAAAATGGTGGCGCCTGTCCGAAGTATTTTGTCGTTCACTTTTTATCCCGTACCGTCCCAATCAGGTGACTAATATTAAAGTTGACAATCGTGTGTCGTGTACAATCTTAGGTTGAAAAAACGCGAACGAGCGAGTCCGCGAAAGTCGAACTGCGAAGTAGCGAGAGGCTACTGTAGTTTTCTTATTCTTATTGACTGACCAGAAATGGGGGAAGTGGTGGTGCAGGGGTTAGAGAAGGTGGGCTTGTGATCGGAAGGTCGCCAGTTCAACTTCCTGGACTGACAACATCAAAATGTGGGTGGGAAAGGTGAAGCACCCTCTGCTCCCTGGTGCCCTAGATGGCAGCTCTCTGCTCCACACAGAGGGCTGTGGTAGCTCAGTGGTCTGTGGTTGTGTCAGGACCGGCATCCGGCGTAAAAACAATCACCAAGTCTTCATGTGAGTTAGTTCACTGTGGTGACCCATGAAGAAGGGAGCAGCCGAAAGAAGAAAAAAAAACATGCCTGACCAGAATGAGACTGAAAAACTCTAAATTCAGTTTAGTTTTCAGTTTATTCAGTTTATTCACACACACAAAAATAATCATAATACATAACTGCAAGGTAACAGTGCGTGAATCAGGTCTCCAAAAAGCTATTTAAAGTTTATAGACGGAGCCTGGGCACATACTGCATACAAATGATAACATATTAAAATAACATCACAATAAAACATCAGTCCTCATACAAATTCCACACACATACAGATTATGTTACCTCTGATCAGTTTCAGGTCCTACAAGTGATCTCAAGTATATAAACAGAGCAATTTGGTCTTTAACTGTTTTTTGAAATTTTTTTTTTGAATTTTTTTGAAATTCATACTGCTCTACAAACATGAAGCACAAGAAAATATTTTAGTTTTATTATAACAATCAGTCTCAATACGAGATCGTTTATGCTAGAAAACAGTGAGCAGGAACCCAAAAATAACAAATCTAGCATTTTCATTGTGTATTACAACAACAAAGTACAGTCAGGTCATCTGGACGGTTTCTTTTTATTTTTTTAAATTTTTTTTAAATGTTTCATCCTTCATCCAAAGGACTTCATCAGTCCAAGGAGCCACAACAAACTCAGTCCCACAAGCAGCACAATCACATAGTGGCCCAGCAGTTTGCGGGTGATAAGAAGGTTTCTGGGGCCCGCCCTCTCCCCTGTCGATTCCTAGTCCACTACAGCAGCCATAGCCAAAGTTTGTTGTGGCTCCTCGTACTGATGAAGTCCTTTGGATGAAGGACCAAATGTTTCAACAACAAAAAAAATAAATAAAAAGAAACCGTCCAGATGACCTGACTTAAATTTGTTAGATTTTTTTTTACCTGGATTATTGAGCATGCACTTTGATATTGTGTCTTTTGTATTCGTACTTCTGGCATTTGTGCTTATCTGTGTTTCTGCTTGTGTATGTTTGTGTGATGAGGTTGTGACATGAACGTCCATCGGAGGTGCGAGTCCAGCGTTCCCAGCCTCTGCGGTCAGGATCACACCGAGAAGAGAGGAAGAATCCATCTGACCATCAGAGGAGACAAGGAGGACATTTATGTTACAGGTGAAGACAAGCTTGTGGATTACCAGAGGGCTGGCTTTAAATTGGAAGAAGCGTTTCTTTTTCTCACGTTTGTTTTTGGGTCGCTCTATTTTCTCTTCAGTGCGGGAGGCTCGCAACCTGATGCCCATGGATCCAAATGGTTTATCAGACCCATACGTCAAACTAAAACTGATCCCAGACCCAAAGAGCCACAGCAAACAGAAAACCAAGACCATCCGATCAACGCTCAATCCCGTCTGGAATGAGAGTTTCACCTTGTGAGTCCTTGTGAAACTTGGTGAAACGTAGTAAAAATAACAACGCAGTACTGTCCTACTTTTTGTTTGACCGAGCTTTACAGATTTATTTGGTACAGTAGGAAATGCCTCTTTTAAATTAAAATTAGCAAACGAAGTAGATTGTAATGTATGCAAATATTAAACTTATATTTATGAGTAAAAAAATCTACTTAAGAAATCCTTGATTCCTGAACATCGACCACTGAGTAAAATAACAACTTGGTCAATCTCTAATACATAAATACCAGACAATGTCCTCAGTGAGTGAGTATTTTTGTGTTCGTCTCTGCAGCTCAGTACGTGGAAACCAGTGGGACAGGCGTCTGTCGGTGGAAGTGTGGGACTGGGACCGGACCTCCAGGAACGACTTCATGGGAGCGCTCTCATTCGGCGTCAGCGAGATCTTCAGGCGTCCCATCAGCGGTTGGTTTAAGCTCCTGGCACAGGATGAAGGAGAGTACTACAACATTCCTGTACCGGACCCAGACCTGCAGGTAGAAGCTGCAGGACTCTACATGAAAAGAAGCTAAAATAAACTTTACCGTTCGATAAAATGTTGCTCCAGTTTCTCAAGTAAAAATAATCTTTAAGCTCTGTCAAAGACTTTTTAGCTGCTATTGCAGCTAAATACTGGATCAGTGTCAGGGTTCTGATCTGTACAGCTAAAACTATTTTTTGAGAAAGAAATGTAGAGGAAATAAGCTGCTGCTGCAACTAGACCAGGGGTCTGCAACCTGCGGCTCCGGGGCCACATGTGGCTCTTTGGTACCTCTGCAGCGGCTCCTTTGGGCTTTGACCAAAATAAAACTGAATTTTATTTTAAATTGTTGCCAACAATGAAAATGGCTAGTTTATCAGATTTCCTGTCATTTTCAAATATGTGAAGAATAGTACAAATACACAGAATAAAGCATGTGGACTACATCATGCTAGCAGTTTGTTAGCCACTTTATCTTCCAGTCTCACAGTGAGATCTTTCTGTCAAAACCACCAGAATGTTTTGGAATATGTTGAAGACAAGCTGCTGAGAAGGAATATGAGTAACTTTGATAACACTAAGAATAAAACACACACACAAAAAAACAAAGTAAACAAAAGTGTTTATTTTTCTTTAAAAATGTAACTGGATGTCCAACAAACTGGACTAATTTTATACAACTTTATAATTTGAGTAGGAAACTTAATTCTTTGACAATTAGAAGAACTCACATCGGCCTGCAGAGTTCAGTGTTTTGATTTCTATTAAATTGTTAAAAATTATATATTTTTTCTTTTATTTACATGAATCTGGTCTTTTCTTTTGTATTAAAATGTAAAAAATATTATTAAATGTTAATAATAGTTAGACATTTTTCATTTTATAATGTCACCCCCAATGGCTGGAAAAGCCGTCTCCAACAAACTGGTGGCCCATGGGCCACCAGTTGACAGTACACAGTTGCAGCAGCTGTTGCGGCTCCGGACACGTCGCTCTTTTGATCCTAAAGGTTGCACACCCCTGGACTAGATAATTACAGAAATTACACTGAATGCCCTCTCCTTTCTGTGACTGCCTGCATCCAGCAGGGTGCAGGATAGTTCTGCCTGACTGGAGTCCAAACTGGGGGGTTGGTGTGGTTTAGATTTCTCTTCAGCTCTCAAACATCCTGTTATTATTCTCCAGGAACCTCAACCAGATGTTACAGCATCCTGTCTGCCCCAGGTCATACCTAGCCCGGTCCCAGAGCCGTTCCCTGTGGCCCTGTCCCCAGCCCTGGTCCCGTCCTGCGCCACCGTGCACTCTCCAGGTCCTGGCAACGTGAAGTTGAGCATCCTGGACTTTAACTTCCTCATGGTGCTGGGCAAAGGCAGCTTTGGAAAGGTGAGGACGGCAGGCTGGGAGATGAAATGTGATCTTCTCCACACACAATCTGATCCAGCAGCTAAAGAGGCTGAAAATAACAAGATTTATTCCTGGCTTTAAAGAATCTCCCCTGTGGTCATGACCTTTAAGCGACCTTTCATTTAATTCTCTGGAGAATAGCAAAGCTGAACCTCCATGAACAATTTATATCTGCCATTTTTTTTTCTTCTTTACTAGCAAACTCATTACTTCTCCTTATGCCAAATAGATTCCTTTAACTCTTCGTTATCGCCCACTGATGAAAGGTGAATTCGGATGATTACATTCTCGCCCGTCTGTGCATGAGTGCGTTCTTTTGTCTGTTATCGAAATATCTCATGAATCGTTCGTTGGATTTTATTTAAACTTGCAGAAAACATTAATCGGATGAACGTCTACAACTGATTACCTTTTAGAGTCATATCAATTCAAGATGGCTGCCACAGCCAACTAAACTTTAAAAGCACAAAAAGGGCTCAAACTCTGTCAGCTTTACAGATAATCACCAAAACCTTGGTGTGGTAGTAGCTGAGACGGATCTCCATCGTATATTCTGAGGACAAACACATTGTGCAAGAGTTTATTGTCAAAATTTGACATTAACTATTTGGAGTCAACTACGAATGTCTGTTAGCAAAATATCTCATGAACCTCTTAACGCATTTCAATGAAACTTGTGAGATAAAATCTTTAGATGCATTTTTACAACTGGTCACCTTTTGGAGTCATCCCAGTTCAAGATGGCTGCTGAAGTCAACGGACCTCAGAAAATACAAAAATGGCTAGAATTCAGTCATTTTTACAGATCTTGTGCTAAAAGTTTGTGTGACTATTTCTTAAAGTTATTTACAGCTCATGCTTCAGTTGTTACTCAATGAGAGCAAGTTGTTTTTAAAACATTAACATCAACTGTTGGAGTTGTCACAGTTCGTCTGTTAGCAAAATATCTCATAAACCACTGAACATATTTTAATCAAATTTTCAGATAGTAATTAATTGATGTTCATCTACAACTGTTTAACTTTTGGAGCTAACCAAATTCAAAATGGCCACATGAGCTAACTGACCCAAGAAAACCCAACATGAGCTATAAATTAGTCATTTTTACAGATACAGAGCTAAGATTTGGTGTGGTAGTAGCTGAGAGTCATTCACAACACATACTCTGTCTGTGATAGCTTGCAGTATCACATGAGACTGCACATGATGCTGTTTACAAGACCAAAACTATGTCGTTTGTCATCATAACAGTTTAGTTTAAAACTGGCAGGTGATGTGCATTCCTTTAAGAAATGATGGGTCTTTAGTTTATTTTATGAGCTCAGGACGAGTTTTTAATCCTACCTGTGGCTCAGTCAGCTCTCCTGGAGGTGCTCATTTCAAGGGATACTCTGCTTTCCATTATTTCTTTTAATTCCCCAGCAGATAAAGAATAATGAAGGCGGGGGTGGGGGGGGTGGCATTGACTCCTTCTTCCTCCAGTGAAATCCCCCTGTGTTGTTTCATAACTATCAGAGGAGAGTCCTCAAAGGACAAGAGAAATAGACTCAACTTACATAAGATGTGAGGAGAGAAAAAAAAAAAAGGAGAGACGGACCCTGGGGCTGCTGAGCGCTGAGGGAAAGTGAGAACAAAACAGACAGAGACAGAAAGAAGCCATGGACGATTACCGAACTCCAGAAAGTGACAAAACGATCTGATGAAAATAAGATCGCAGCAGCCGAAATGAGAGGAAAAGGGTGCACGTTGCTGGGATTCATGGAGATCTAATGGGATCTGAGTGCAACTTTTACACAAGCTGGTGTGACCCCACGAGCAGGAGACACAATCAAGGACAACCATCGGGTTTCTCTCAATGCTTGGAGGCTCACGAGCAGCAGCAGCGCGCGCACACACCTTCAGGAACTCGTTTTGTGCAGTCACGTTGATTTAGAAAACATGAAAAAGTGTCATTTTCTCTACTATTCAGCACTATTTGAAAGTAAAATGAGATTCTTTATGTTCAGTAGCCAGGAAGCATCAGAGTGTAGCGCTGTGGACAGGCACAACAATTTCCAGCGGTGTTGTCGTCAGCTCATTCTGGTGGTCTTGGCCGAACCTCCCCAGTGAAACCTCGTATTGTGCACCTCTGAATGTGGCGTATTATCGCCCCATTAGCAGTCAGAGCTACCCACAAGCAGACGGTATTTACTCTACGGTGAAAATCTTATTCAAATGTGTTTTTAATGTCTGATAATAACCAGAAAGCTCAGACTTCAGACTCGGATTGGTTGTGAATAAACGTTATATTTGGCTGTTTGATCATCCCATGGGGACAGTAAAAAAACGAGGCGGGGGGGGGGGGGGATTTGTTTATACATCCTAAGTGTTTTTGATGGCTGAATATTGTTGGAGACAAAGTTTAGGGGATATATCTCACAGCTTGGTGAATAACAAATAATAACTAGACAAACTGCATTTCCTGAGAAAATGCAGTGTGAATGCTTATTGCAGAAGAACTTGCTAAAAACAGCTGAAATTAGCTAAATTTTAAAAAAGCATGCTGAAATGTAGCTAAAATTAAAGAACAAGCCTAAGTTAGTAGAAGAAAGCAGAAAGAACACATATTTGATGAATTAGGTTTAAAGCTTAAATTAGCCAAAAGTAGATGAAAAGTAGCTGAAAATGTATAAAGAAGCTTAAACTACCAGAAGGAAGTGGAATGAGCTGAAATGAGCTAAAAAAAAAGTGGAATTACATGAGAAAACTAAAATTAACATAAAACAGCTAAATAGTAGCTGAAAGAGCAGAAAAAGCTGAAACAGGCAGAAAAAAGCTGAAAGGAGCATAAAAAGGGGCAGCACGATGGCGCAACTGGTAGAGCTGCTGCCTTTCAGCGAGAAGGTTGCCGGTTCAAATCCTCATCCGGGGGCCTTCCTGGGTGGAGTTTGCATGTTCTCTCCGTGCATGCGTGGGTTTTCTCCGGGTACTCTGGTTTCCTCCCACAGATCAAAAACATGCATGTTAGGCTGATTGGGAACTCTAAATTGGCCCTAGGTGTGAGTGAGAGAGTGAATAGTTGTTTGTCTCTATGTGTCCCTGTGATGGACTGGAGACCTGTCCAGGGTGTACTCCGCCCCTCGCACAATGATTGCTGGACAGGGGCACCGGCGACGCCTGTGACCCAAAATGGAAGAAGCGGGTAAAAGATAATGGATGGCTGGATGGATGGATGGATGGATGGATGGATGGATGGAGCATAACAAGCTGAAAATAGCATAAAGAAGTTAATTAAGCTGAAAGTAGCAGACAATACCATGAAAAACTTTGAATTTATCTGAAAACAGCTAAAATTAGCTAAAAATGTAGCTGAAAAGGTAGAACAATCTTAAATTAGCAAAAGGAAGCAGAAATAATATGTTAGTCAAATTAGGCTGAAAGAAGCAGAAATGAGCACAAAAAAGGGGAAATTGTCTGAAAAAAAGCTGAAATTAACAAAAAATAAAAATAAATACCCAGCTGAAAAGTATCTAAAAAAGCAGAAAGAAGCTTCAATTACCAGAATGAAGTGGCGAGAGCACATTTTTGCTGAATTAGGCTGAAAAAAGTTGAAATGAGTGCAAAAACTATGGAAATAGCTGACAAAGCTTAAATTAGCATAAAAACTGCTAAAACTTGCAAAAATAAGCTGAAAGGAGCATAAGCTGAAATTAGCAACAAAAAAAATTAGAAGCACAAATATGTAGTTTGCAGCAAGAATATGAAAGGAGCACAAAACAGCTGAAACTTGTTGGAAAAAAGTTTAAATTTGCACAAGGAAGCCGAAAGAAGCTGAAACGGAACAAAATGTGAAAGGAGCAGTAAAAGGTTGTTAACAGATCTAAAGATGTAAAGGCTGTAAAATGAGCTCAGTTCATTTCGTACGTGAAAAAATGACAGAAAAGGCTAAACATTTCAAAAAGCTAAAGTTGCACCAATACCAAAAGTTATAGCACCGTTCTGAATGAGCTGAACGTTTTGATATACGATTTGTTGAAATAGCGCAAAAAAGAGAACTGCGTACAGAAGAAAAATGGATCACAATAGTGTGAATGCTTCATAAACACACGTCTTTTCTAATGTCATGCGGCTCTATACTAGACCTCCTTGCCTCTTATTCAACAGTGACCTAAGAAAAACACTGAACAATCAGCGTTGTGTTAATTCTTGACTTCTGTCTGCAGTGAAGGATTAAAACTTGAATGGAAGTCTTGTGTTTTTGTTTTTTTCTGGTTGAGACGTGACGTAACACCAGTTCTTGTTAAATTCACAGAGTGCTGTCTCCTAAAACTTGAAAACGTGGATTAGGTAGTGCAGAGTGCTGTTTTATGTCCATCGTAGTTTCTGTACTTCGTGTCAGACCGTCGGTGCAGTACGCTGCTTCTGGATCCGTTCAGAACCATCCAGCAGCTGCTTTGTCGTTCCCGGTAGACGTGCCGCTCGCTAACTGTCTCTCTGTGTTGCTGCTCAGGTGCTGCTGGCAGAGGAGCGAGGCAGCGAGCGTCTGTTCGCCATTAAGGTGCTGAAAAAAGACGTTCTCTTCCAAGACGAGGACACGGAGAGCGCTCTGGTGGAGAGGAGGGTTCTGGCGCTCCCCTCGCGCCCTCACTTTCTCACATCGCTCTACTCAGCCTTCCAGACCGAGGTGTGTGAAATGAATATTCAGCTGCTAAACAAATCCCATCAGTGTTAGTAAACTGTTCACACACACTTGGTGACATAGTCGGGGTGTGTAAGAGTTGTTTTCAAAACATTTTCGTTTTGTGTGAACGCTGATTCACCATTCTCATCATTGTTTTTCTGTTTATTTTTCAGTGCAGTTTTTGAAATCTAATAATAATAATCTGATGTGCTTCTGATCACAGGCCCACCTTTTCTAACCTCGACACATATAGGGGAGTAGTGGTGTAGAAGTCAACTCCCCAGAAGATGTAAATTTATACACAAATATTGTCTCAATAGAAATACATTGAGATCACTGTTCCTTTCAAATCTGTGTCAGCAGAAACGCTCGGATTGTATTTTCTTATGTTACTTTTAGCTTTTTTTATATGTATGTTTAATTTTTTTCTACATAGCGTTTTGCTACTTCTAGCTTGGCCCTTGGTAATTTGAGCAAGACTTTCACAACTTTTAGCTTTTACCTACCATTTCTCTTTCATCATTCAACTAGCATTTTATTTCTTTTATCTTCTAAATAATTTTTTGACTTTTTGTTTGCTTTTTATTACTACTGCTTTTAGTTCATCTTTTGCTTATTCTGTTCTGTGTTGCTACTGTTAGCTAGCCTACTTTTAGTTTCTAGCTACCATTTATCTTCTTTTAGCCTTAAGCTATCTTTTTGCTGTTGTTAAGCTACTTTCAGTCAGCCTTTGGCTACTTTAATTTGTAGCTACCTTTTTGTTACTTTTAGCTATTTTTGCTGCTTTGTGTAGTCATTTTGTTACTTTAGCCATCTTTTGACTACTTTAACATCTAGCTTCTTTTTTGTTACAGTCACAAAAAAAGTATAAAAAACTTCTTTTTTTTTTAAATGGATTTAACCATTTTGACAAACTCAATAGGAACACCATTCATAGATGAGATAGAAGGAAGGACTGCTGGTACCAACTTCCTATTTGAAAACAACATCCCTTTGGTTTTATCAGCATTTAGCACCAGTTTGAGATGGAACAAATCTGACTGGATGATGTCGAATGCAGACTGTACAAGCTGGAAAACCTTAGCAACTGTTCTAGCTCGACAATAAACAACAATGTCGTCGGCATAGAAATGAAAGGATGCATCAGGAATGATCTGACCTGCATTATTTATGTAAATGTGAAGAAGGTGGGACCTAAGACTGAGCCTTGTGGTACACCATTATTGACAGTTAAATAGTAGTAATAATAATAGTTGGTCCATATGTGTTTAGTGGGGAGAGTTGGTCCATGTGTGTGTGTTTTGTCTCTGCAGGACCGTCTGTACTATGTGATGGAATACGTCAACGGTGGAGACCTTATGTTTCACATTCAGCAAGTTGGGAAGTTCAAAGAGCCTCACGCAGCGTACGGAGGCAGATAAAGCCTACCTTTGATCACCGCCTTCATCTACAAAAGTCTCATATCCCGTCTGTTTTTTATCCTCCGATCCATTTACATGCACCGTCTTCTCTTTGTTCGTTACACCCGATGACTCAGAAAAAGTCATCAACATGAGCTACCAGCCCTCCTTCTCTTTCCTGTTTCTTTCTGTTCGTTTCAATCTTGTCTTTTCATCTGTTTTCCCTCCCTCTTCCCCTTTGGCTGTTCATCTAATCAATAATCCCCGAACATTCATCTAAAACTAATTCTTACCCTGCTTCACGTTTTCATTTCTCTCTCTTCATTTCTTTTTCTTTCATCTTTGTGGTTGCTCTCCACTTTCATCACCCTCTCAAGCTCTCCTTCTCCACTCATCATCTTCTTTTGAGTTAGCGAAAACCTTTGGTCATTTTTTTTCTGAAGCATAAAGCGAACCAGCGGTGAGATTCCCTCCTCCTCCTCCTTCTCCCTCCTTTTAGGTTTTACGCAGCAGAGATAGCTGTTGGACTCTTCTTCCTCCACAGCAAAGGCGTCATCTACAGGTAGAGATCTTTGAAGCGGTCCGGACGTCATCGCAGAACGCAGCGACGACTCAAATTAATCATGTCTTTTGTAGCTAATGATTAATAAAGACGTTATCCATCAGGATGATTAATGCAGGTGTGATTTATCTCCCTCGCTCAGAGATCTGAAGCTGGATAACGTGCTGCTCGACAGTGAGGGCCACATAAAGATCGCTGACTTCGGGATGTGCAGGGAGGGCATGTTCGAGGGCGACACCACACGCACGTTTTGTGGCACTCCCGACTACATCGCCCCTGAGGTACTTTCACCTCTGAACTCACTCTCTGGTCCACGATCACTCTTTGTAAAAAACACTTATTTGTTTCTTAGATCCACCCTTTACAGTAGTCCCTTGTTTATCGCGGGGGTTACGTTCCGGCCCCCCACCGCAATAAGTGAAATACCGCCAAGGAGGAACACTATATTTATTTTAGTATTTATATGTATTTAGGCTTTAGAAACCATTCCCACACTCTTACAATGTTCTAAACTCTTAAACCTACGTCATTTTAACAACATACGTATATGTACTGCACAGTAGCTAGGGGTGTAAATCACCAGCTTTTCCACGATACGATATTATATTGATTTGTTTGAATGACAATACGATTTTTCTCAATATCACAAAGTCTGTCGCGATCGATATATCGCAATATCAAATGCTCATCTCATTTACATATAAATAAATTGACATAACAATTCAAATATGATTTAACCATTTTATTTCTGTTATTACAGGCACCAGGCTTTAAAAAAAAAATCTTAATTAATGAAAAATAGAAATAAATGATCTGTTCAGTGTAGTCTCACATTTCTCATGTTTAAGTGCATTTTTTTTAAAAACCAGTTAACTTAAAAAGTGTCCTGATTACCTTTCAGTTATAAAGAAACAAAAACAGATATTGAGTTTACATAACATGGCTATCAATGCCGTGTTTCTTCTTCAGGTGAACGGACAAATCTGTTTTGTTTCCCGAGTATTTTTTACTCACACTGGCACCTGTTGCATACGACATGAGTTTTGTCTGTTGAACCGTCTTTCTGTTGGAATCCAAAATATTTCCACAGTGTTGATTTAAATCCAGCAGGAGAGTGAATTTCATTTTTTGTGTTTTCTGCCTCGTCAGTCATGTTGCTGAGGCGGCCACAGAGCGCAGCCGCGCACGGAAATGTTGACACATACGTGCCTTGGGAATTTCAAAATAAAAGCGTATTTTAAAGATGACATTATGAATCCATGTTTTAGTTTTTCCAAGATATAATTGAATCATTAATCGTTTAATAGATATATCGATGTATTGTTACACCCCTAACAGTAAGTAGCTATGTACTGCAAACAAAACTACACAATGGTTCCTATCTAGTCCAAATATGGATGAAAAAGTCTCGGTGAGCACCGGAGAAAACACCGAACCTCCAAGCAACACCTCCCCGCTTGAGAGTCTCCTGGGCCTGTAGCTCTCAGATTGACAGATGAGGCTGGAAGTAGTCCTGGTCCAATCCCTGGTCGGTTCCGTGCAGCTCTCTGCATCCACTGAGCGCCAAAGTCACTATGAATAGGGACCAAACGTTTTTGGATCGGATCAAAACTTTTCCTCCAATTCAGCAGAAAGCAACAGCTGGAAGCACTCTTGGCTTCTGGGAAATGTAGTCCTTTTTTTTTTTTTTTTTTTTTTTTTTTTGAGAAAACTACAAATTCGTGGCGCCAGTCCAAAGTGCTTTTTTCGTTAACCTTTTACTGTATCCCATACTGTCCCAATCAGGTGAGTAATATTAAAGTTAAAGTGTGTCATCTTACTTTGAAAAACCGCGCAAGAGCAAGTCCGCAAAAGTCGAACCGCAAAGTAGCGAGGAGCTACTGTATTCTCATTTCACCTTTCTGCTCCTGTTTTTTTTTTATTAGATGTCAAACTGCAACTCCTCTCGTCTGCTCTGTCCTCTCTGACCTTGTCGGCATTATAAACTAATTAACCTCGCATATTTCAATTATCAGTCGTGTGTACCTGTGCTGTGTGTTGCATAGAAATACTGTTGTCCTTCAGAGACCTTGGGATTCTAGTTTTACTATTCTTCCTCTGCAGCTGACAACTTAAAGTCTTAGTTACCGGTACATATCACCTGCTGCCTTTCATTGCCCAAGATCATTTTATGCTCAGATGGAGTTTTAGCCATTTTTGTCAAACCTTGAAAATAATATATTGTGCAATCTCATATGATATTGTGAGATCTTATGCCAGAATATGTCTTGGGAAGGTCATCTAATTACTGCCACATCAATACTGAGCTCAATACCTGTGAATCTGACAGAGTTATAGCCATTTTTGTATTTGCTAATATTGTTAGTTGTGGTGGCCAACTTGAATTTGATTGACTCCAAAAGCTAAAGCGTTGTAGATTCATATCAAATTATTACTGGCTAAAAGTTTAATTAAAATCCATTCAGTGGTTTATGAGATATTTTGCTAACAGACAAACAGGGCTGACTCTGAAAGTTAATGTTACAGTTTTAAACAAAGATCTTATGTATTGAACAGCACTCAGAGTATGTGTTGTGAAGTACTCTCTTCTAGAACTACACCAAATTGGAGCGCAAAATATGTAAAAACAACTGTATTTTAGCCATTTATGTGTTTTTTAAAGTCGATTGACTGTAGCAAACATCTTTATTTAAGTTAACGCCAAAAGTTAATCAGGTATAGATGTACATTCACTGAATATTTCCAGAAACTTTCAATAAAATCCGTCTAGTTTTGCACAAGATATTTTGCTAACAGACAGACAGAATTGACTGCGAAAATCGGTAGTTCACAGCAAATGTTTTACAAAGATCTAGTGCATTCTGTTATTGCTCAAAATGTGTGTTAGGTATCAGTCTCAGCTACTACCACACCTGCTTTTAATACAGTATCTGTCAAAATAAACTGAGGTGTAGCACTTTTTGTGTTTTATAAAGCCAACTGTCTTTGACGGCAAACTTGAATCAGGTTGACTGTAAAATCTAATAATTTGTAAATGTTATAATAGTGATTACGTCCTGCATGTTTCATTAAAATCCGTTTAGTGGTTCGTGAGATATTTTGCAAATAGACAACATGCGCACACAGGCACAAGCAAAAACATAATTGTCTGCTTTTTATTGACGTGTGATAAAAACAGACTGGCTGCTACATTTAATGGATTCCTTTTTACTCATGACTCTTTCTATTTTGCTGTTGCTAATTCTAACCTTTAAGGAATCCATTTCAAATGGGTTTCCACTGTAAGCGATAAAGGACAAAATACTCAATTCCTATCAGCTAAAAAGTTTCAATTCAATTTGAAATTAATGTTCTGCTCTGCTGCCCCGGTTTTTCAAGTTAAGTGGGTGCCAATCAAAGTTACAATTATTCAAGTGAAAGAAAAAACGAAACTTTTTTTATGTTTCTCCTCACAGAGTTTCACACCAGTCAAACAGGAAGTTCTCACGTCACGTCAGTCTCACAGCTGAGAGCGTCCCTCTCTCACAGAAACGCTTCAAACTACCACAGCTTCTTTCACATCATGTTCCATGGTGATAATTTGGTGAAATGGTGTACCTCTGAAATGTTTCCAACAAGAAGTCAGAAGTATTTTCATGTTGGATATGAGACAATGTTAATAACTTGTAGATTTATTTCTGTTTTATACTCTTCAGACAAAATTTGACTTTAGCTGACAGGTGCCAAGCTTTTTCACAGAAGTGGTAGTTTAGCTTGAGATATTCACTTCATTCATTGAGGATGTCAACATCTGGTTTTTATACATGTACCTAAACTAGTCAAACAGGCTCACTTTTTACCTCACTATCCTCTGAGAAAACGACACCACAGGGTTGCTCAGTTTGACACATACTGGGAAATTCACAAAAGCTTTGTCTGTATATTATCTGTCCATCCATTATCGTTTACCCAGTGGTGTATTATACATTTGTGTAGTGGGTATACCGCGGTAAAGTTAGTTTTACGTTAGACACCGAATGTCCAACGTAAAACTAACCTTACGGCGGTTGGTCCGTATGCTGTGCTTAGAAACCAAAGTACGCCGGTTAGTACAATGTAATCGTCAATTTATTTTGATTTTTAAACATATTGAACATTTCAAAATTTCTCTGATATTTATATTTCAATAAATGAAGCTTTGTACAGCAGTTGACTTCGTATTAAAAAGATGTTATAGAATTTATAAAACGGTATCAAAGCAAAACATGTTCAAGTATTAAGTACATAATTATACAATAATTCTCTGGATAAGCGGATGTAATAAACAAGCAATGTATACTGATAGATTGTTATGGAAGCACTTAAGTGCCATTTAACATATGACTGACATGTGCCTAATGATATGTCATGTATCACTGGGTACTTTTAAGTAGGTATACTGAAATTCTTAAGCTTTTCTAGTGGATATACTCTGTATTCCCGCATATCGCGTAGACTACACCTCTGCATTTACCCACTTCTTCCTTTTTGGGTCACAGGTCACTGGTACCCATGTCCAGCAGTCAATGTGCGAGAGGCGGGGGACACTCTGGACAGGTCTCCAGTCCATCACAGGGACACATAGAGACAAACGAGACAAACAACCATTCACTCTCTCACTCACACCTAGAGACAATTTAGAGTTACCAATCAGCCTAACATGCATGTTTTTGGTCTGAGGGAGGAAACCGGAGTACTCGGTGAAAACGCACGCAAACACGGAGAGAACATGCAAACTCCACCCAGAAAGGCCCCCAGCTGAGAGGCAACAACTCTACTAACTACAGCATATGGGGAGTTGACTTCTACACCACTACTCCCCTATATGTGTCGAGGTTAGAAAAGGTGGGCCAGTGATCAGAAGGTCGCCGGTTCAACTCCCGTTACTGACAACATCAAAATGTGGGTGGGAAAGGTGAAACACCCACACCTGACTCCACCCTCATTTGCCCCACTCTGGGCCCCTGAGAAAGGCCCTTAACCTCCACCATCTGCTCTTCTGGGAGTCCTAGATAGCAACTCTCTGCTCCACACAGAGGGCTGTGGTAGCTCGGTGGTCTGTGGTTGCGTCAGGAAGGACATCCGGTGTAAAAACAATTGCTACGTCTTCGTGAGAGTTAGTTTGCTGTGGTGACCCCTGAAGAACAGATCAGCCGAAAGAAGAAGGAAAAAAATTAAATAAATAAATTATATATATTAAACAGTAGTCCCTCGTTACTTCATGGTTCATTTTTCGCGGACTCGCTCTATCGCGGTTTTTCAAAGTAAGATTGGACATGATACACAATTGGCTGATTGATGGATGAGCCGCACGATTGGCACGGAACTTTTATTTAAAATAAATTATTTACACCTTATTTGCACCTTTGTGCAGTCCACAGCTGCAGGATAAGCTTCCTCCTGCAGCTGATCAGCTGATCTCCGTGCAGAGTGGAGAAGTGGGCGTGGCCAAGAGCGCTTGCAGGTGGCAGAGAGCTGAAATCATGACATTCTGTGCTCTTTTAGAGCATTTAGAGTTTATAAACATTGTTTGGAATATTGCAAGAGTGTGGGAAGGGTTTAAAACACATTAATATATATCTGCATATAAATACTAAAATAAACAACAACTTGCTACTTGTGCTACCATCCCTACTTCGTGGTTTTTCACTTATCGCAGGGCTTCAGGGTACGGATCCCCCCAATAAACGAGGGACTACTGTATATATTTGTTCAATGTAGAATTTTTCTTATTATTTGCTAATTTTTTTATATTCTGTGAACTACTTTGAAGGTGAGCAAGAAACATTTTAATGAATGAAAAGCCAGTTATCCAATCGGATTCTTTAAATTTATGTCTCCAGGCAGAAACATGTTTGAAGGAGCCTCATTGGTTACGACTTCACTGTCGGGACAGAAGGCTGAGTTCGGTCCATGACTGCAGCATGAGTCTGTTTAATAACAGACAAGGAAAATTAACCAATCACACCATTGATATAGAGTGGGTGGGACCAAAACACGGCTTTTATGTTCAGGTTGTTGTTGCTGACTATAAAACAAATGACACCATAAGTCAGATGTTGTATCCGATGTTTAAAAAAGGGGAAAGGCAAATCATGTTTAGTTTCTAAATTGTGAATCTGAAGGTAGAGTGATGTAATCAGACAGTGACTCTGTAGCATGTTCATTGCTGGGCTTTATCAGGAAAATTACATCCAAAGTGTCCTAAAAGTAGCTTTGCAACAAACAAATTCTGTTTGGATGCACCTGACTGGGGGAAAAAAAAACATCTACTTCCTATAGATTTGCATTATCTGTCTGTGTGTGCATGAAGTTAAGGTTATAACATGTTTAAAAGACAGATGTGTGGGTGTCTGTGTAAATAAACAGAGGCAAGTGCATGTTTGGATGGCGGTCTTGTAATTGAGTGATACAGAAGAGTCAAGTCAACTTTATTTATAAAGCACATTTGAAACAGCAGCTGTTACCAAAGTGCTTGGAGAGAAAGAAGAAGAACTCGACTGTTACTCTCATCTTTGATATCATGAACCTCTGTGGAGCCCCGCAGGTATTGACTCTCTTATATAAACACCCATTGATTCTGCTGCAACTACCATTTGGGAAGCAATACAATATAATTCCCCAGAGGGGAGGAGGGGGATCATTCACTCATGCTCCTCATTCCCATGTGCACACACACACACACACACACTCACACACGCAGAGAAAGAGATAAGAGCAGTTAAACACAAATCACGTCTCAATAATGCATTTCCTCTTCTCACTGCTTCTTTTCTCCTGTTCAGTCCTGCTGGTTCTGCCTCCCGACTCCTAAAACGCTGATTTCCTTCACTCTCCTCTGACTTTTTTTTTCCTTATCTTTGCCCCGCCACACTTCCCTGTGATGTCCTTACATTTCCTCTCCATCCTTTTCAGATTGTGGCGTATCAGCCGTATAATAAAGCGGTGGACTGGTGGTCTTATGGAGTTCTGCTGTATGAAATGCTGGCAGGACAGGTAACGCTCAGCTTTACCCTGATAATCACGTAAAACACCGTAGACACTTGAGCCTCCAGTATTTTGTAATCACTACAAAAACCTTTAACTATAATAATTCATTATGCTTGACATTACTTCTCCCACTGGTTTTTTTGTTCAACTTAATGTAAATGGTTTTTTTTTTTCCCTTAAAGCCACCATTTGATGGTATAGATGAAGAGGAGCTGTTCCAGTCCATCATGGAGCAGAGCGTCTCGTACCCAAAAACTCTCTCTCGTGAAGCTGTAGCTATCTGCAAAGGAGTAAGTCTGCTTCTCCTTTTACGTTCAAGTCAAAGCCCGCGGACATTGAGGACACATTTGTATCAGAAAATGAAATTAAATTCCATTAAGCTTATTGTCCGCGGTCGCAGAGCAAAGAGGGGGAGTTAGAAATACCCTCAGTCCGTCCGTCTGTTCGTACTTGAAAAATAACTGAGTTACTGACTTCCATTTTGGTGTGTGGCTGCATGTAGGTGTAAGAAAGGTCACCATCAAAAATTAGGTTACAACATCAAAATCCAAGATGGCAGCCACCATATATGTAAATATGTAAATGTGAGTTGGACAATGTGAAAAATAAGCAACGTGCTGACTTTTAATTTGGTTTGTGGCTGCTTCCATTTATTTAAAAAAGCTTTTTTAATCAAAAATTAGGTTGCCAAGTCAAAATCCAAGATGGTCACTACCATATGTGTGTAAACCAGCCACCTTATTCCTTAAAAGTATATTTTCCTCAAATGACTGGGTCGGCAGAAGGTAAATCTATGGTGACCACGACCACCACTGGCCATCCTCTGGCTCCGCCGTTACACCTGCACTGCAAAAACAGCACTACTTGAAATAAGCCAAATATTCCTAAATATGACCTATTTTTTATTTTGAGAAGAAGAAAAAAATCTGTGAATGGGGTAAGCAAAAGTTGCTTGGTTAGAATTCTTAAAACTAGCAAATGACTCTAACTACAGTGTCCCTTTAAACTAACTTTTCAAAAATTAAAAAAGTTCCACTTCTTACAAGCAAAGATGGCTTTCCTTAAGAAATATTTTGTTAGAATGAGTGTTATGCCCCCTTCATTAATCTGAGTTTAAGATTTTTTTATGCTTCATTTAAGAAAATTTGACTTGTAACAAGGAAAGAGATTGAGAATTATGCACTCTTGAACAAGCTGATTTAAAGAATTGTTTGCTTATTTTAGGATTTTAGACCCTAATTTTATTATGCCCCCTTGACTAAGCAGATTTTAAGATAAGTCATGCATCATTTAAGAAAATGTGTCTTATAACAAGGATAGAGTCCCTGATACAAATAAAAGCTTTACCAAATTGAGAATTATGCACTCTTGAACAAGCTGATTTCAAGAATTTTTTGTTTACTTTAGGATTAAGGATTAGGATTTAGGAGTGTTATGTCCCCTTGATTAAGCTGTTTTTAAGATTTTACATCTGTCATTTTCACCATAACAGTGGATAAAATCAGTTCCTCCACTCGGACAAGCAAAAGGAAAAAGAAATAAAACCTCTATTCTTATACATTGTGTATTTTTGACACAATACATTCAAGTGTGTAGGAGTTACAAAGGTTTACTTGCTTTCCGGTTGAATTCCAGTCCAGACAAACACTCATGTTGAAAACTACTAACGTTCACTATTTAAACCTCTGATTGACATCAACATACTGCTTGTTAAGAAAACATTTTAATTTTTCCAAAAGCCTCAGAAGGCTATATGGACTGAACAATACTGTCATCCTTTGGGACCCTTTTTGTTTATATGGATCTTTATAGATTGTTTTAGAAATAAAATTGTTTAATGTGTTTTACAGGTGAATCACACTTGTATTGTTTTTTACTGCTATAATTATTTATTTATGACCTTTTTCTACAGGCAGCTGTTAGTTTAGCACTGAGTTCAAAATGAACTTCTCTAAAGGGACATTAAAGGAAATTATATTGTATAATATTATATTGTATTACATTGTATCAAACTACAACTCTTTATACTGTTGGCCACAACTACCGTATTTGAGCAGTTCAGCATTTTTGTATTTATGCTGACTTGTTTATGCAGTTTGGATTAAAAGATAGACTGCACTCCCTTAGCTTTAATTTCAGTTTTTTGCCGGAGCCACAATCCTTTTTCTTCCTTTATCGCTGACAAATAAAAAGAGAAGGAGCTGGCCTTGACTGGTGTTTGCAACATTTTTGTTGCGTTGCACCCAAGACCCACTAATTAACATGAGGTTAAAAACACAACTAAGGGTTATCATTTGTGCTCTCATGGAATATTGTGTTTTATTTTACAGCCTCTGCAGTGACTTCTTTAAGAAATTAAGATGGCAAATTGTATTTTTCATGTTTTAAAAACATATTTTTTTTAGTTTTCAAGGCATTTTCCCTAAATTACAGTAACATTTAGGTTGAAAATTAAAACCCTTAGCAAACACTTTGCTTGTGGTGTGAGTCAGATTCTTTCAATTAATGTATTTTAAGCTCCACAGATAATATTATGTAGGTACAACGCCTTTAATGAGCTTATTTTTGTACAATTTCCATCAAAACTGCACTGTGAGGCATTAAATGCAATTTCAGTCATTCTTCCCTGCAGCATTTTTCAAGTATTTGTTTGTATATAGTCAAACATCAGCTGACGCATTCTCTTGCAGTGAGACACCGATCTGTAGTTTTGTTTTGGGTTTTGTCAATTGTATTATCACTTGACGACGCGGGGCTCACTGTTCCCTCCAGGATCTGGTTCCTAATCCTAAACTAAGCTATAACACACATTAAGTAGCTGCCGCTTTATAATGAGTACACAAGCATAAACTATAATGAGGAAGTGCTGCCTCCAAGCTTCAAACACTTGTTTATGTTTTAGCTGTATACAGTAAAATGTCCCCTCTGGCTTTCTGTTCGTAATTAAATACAAAAAAACAAAATGAGTTTAATCGTATGAGAAACTCTGAAAGAATGGATATAATCGGGTTTTTGCACAAATGTTAACCCTTGCCTTTAAAGTGGAAACAAAATCAAGCTTTACTGTGCGTGAATGAAAGTTTAAATGTCAACGTTCATGCTCAATAATCCAGGTGGAAAATCCAACAAAGTTCAGTCAGGTCATCTGGACGGTTTCTTTTTTTTTGAGACTTTTCATCATTCATCCAAAGGACTTCATCAGTCCGAGAAGCCAGCAACAAACTGAGAGGAGTTGACGGGAGAGGACGGGCCCCAGAAACCATCTTTTCACCAACAAACTGCTTTTTCCCCACTATGCGAGTGTGCTGCTTGTGGGACTCTGTGTTTGTGGCTCCTCGGCCTGATGAAGACCTTTGGATGAAGGACGAAACGTCTCACCAAAACAAAAGAAACCATCCAGATGGCCTGACTGAACTTTGTTTGGAAGTTTAAATAGGTAAATAACTCGTTTGGAATTGCGGCCAAGTTCACTCTGTTCCTCGTGTTTTTGTTAGCTCCTGACAAAGCACCCGGGCAAGCGTCTGGGTGGAGGAGAGGACGCAGAGCGGGACATCAAGGATCATCTGTTCTTCCACTGGATCGACTGGGAACGGCTGGAGAGACTGGAGATCCAGCCGCCGTTCAAACCCAGAACTGTCAGTACTTGTCTCTTTCCTTCTCTCTTTGCTCTTCCCTCCATCGGTCTCCTCGTTCTCCGACTCCCACGTTGTCACTTTGTTTTCATCGTCTCCTCTCTCGCTCGATTCTTCTCACCTAATCATCACCGCTTTCTGCCTTTCATCACCTGAGCCGCTTCTGATGGGCTCCAAGCCCTCAGCAGCAGAAAGTCCAGCCATAACAGATAGGACCTTTGAGCCTGGGCTGTTTCTTACTCCTCCATATGCAAATGCATGTCATCATTAGCCTGCCGCTCGCTAGTTTGCTGGCCCACTTGCCGGTGATGAAGCATGCCAAGGGAGAGCAGGCTGAGCTCAGGGGTGAGAGGCCAAGCCCATTAGCCAAATGAGATTCATGTCATCCAGCAGAACGGCTGTCATGTAGTGTTAAGGAGATGGAGAAGATGTGTGACCAGCTTTATCTTAAAACACTGTGGCTCTGTAAAAAGAAAGCGAGGGTGTGAGTAGGCCAACATATCAGCTGTTACATTCTTTTAATAGTTTTTTTTTTTTTTTTTAAAGGTGTTGGTGGAATGTAATAAAACATTTTTTATGTGGGTGTAATCATATGCTCTAATCTAGATAATGAATGTTTGTGCCTTTTCGCCATCAGGGTGGGAAGAAAGGTGAGAACTTCGACAAGTTCTTCACAGCCGCTCCGTCGGTCCTCACTCCGTCCGACCCAGACGTGCTGGCAGTCATCAACCAGGAGGACTTCCAGGGTTTCTCTTTCCTCAACCCAGAGTTTGCCCCCTCGCCTCTGACAGCCGTCTGAAAACAGACGTCCTCCTCTGAATGTCTCTTTTGCTTCTAATTCTAGTTTCATAGCAGAGAATTTGAGCACAAGAACTGGCAGCGAGCGTTTCACGTTTAAACAATTTCTGACGTTTACATGAAAATGCCCACATCGTTTGGTGTCTACACACCCTTTTTAACTTAAATATGTGCTAATTACACACGAGCATCAACAATACAAAGCCTTAGATACAAATTAGTTTTTTTAATGTGTCCTAAGATAAGAATATTGTATCAACCTGAAGTATGACTCTGTTTGCATGCAGATAGTTTTTTTTAGCGCAACATTATCCATCACTTTTCCCATCACTGTATTTGAAGCTGTTGCCAGGCAAATTTTCTTTGAGGTCTTCACTCTTGCAGCTGCTGCATAAAAACAATACATTATAGACTTTGAAAGGTTTGTTTCCATCACAACAATCAACAAACCCATCTCCAAAATGTGTCTCTCTAAAAATATATTTGTCTCGTGCTAATAGTGAGTGAAACTATTCATAATCTTTTCATAACGGCACAGTAAAAACCCTCAGACGGCTCTGACCCGGCTCGACCTCTCAGTTTAACGTCATTACAGTGATGTCGTCTGACTCACTGAGATGCATAAACGACACAGTGGGCACAGTGTGACTGTGGGCAGCAGCACTGCCTCCACCCCCTCCAGCTCACGTTCCTTCGTTTCATCCTGTCGTCACTGGAGGAGGTCCTCATGTTAAAGGGGTACTTCATATTTTTACAACTGGAGTTGTGTGGAAAGGTTATAAAGACTTACTATCTTACCTGTTGTAGATAGTTCTTTGAACAACCTCGGTTTGAAAAATAAAACTATTTAATTCTGGCCAGATCAGTAACATGTCACAGCGAGACCAAGACTTAAGTGGATTGTTGCCATTTTTCAAAAGTTGCCTCAAAACTTCATAGAAGTTCATGTAGGGGCGGAAATCTTTAGCCATTGGGATTTGATTTATTTGATTCAGGGGGCTGTGTTATGAAAATAAAACAATATATTTCAGTTGTCTTTAAAGTTAAATGATTGTGGCTTATTTTACATAAATGAACACTGGTTTAGATGTCTTAATGTCTAATAAAGAGTGCGCAATAACATTTGTCAAAAAGCCCTTTTGTTTACAGACCGCTGACCAACAATTAGCATCAATGCTAATTTGACATTGAAAATGTAATAGAAAAGCTAACGTGGTTAGCATCAATGCTAATTTAACATTGAAAACGTAATAGAAAGGCTAACATGGTTAGCATCATGTTTATCACTGGTGATTTAAGCACAAATGAAACATTTCAGTCATTACTAAGGAAAGTCATGATATAGTAAATCCAAGTGCTACAGACTAATAGAGAGTATTGTACAGTATGATAAAAATATGTGAAAACAAATTTACTGCAACATGTTTCAAATACAGGAAACTACGGTAACTCTGCTGGGACAAACAGCATCGCACAGCAACTACTCTGCCGATGCTCGGAAAGTGGCAACACAGATTAACAACCAACAAAATCTATTATTTGGGATTTGAAAATTAATTCCAAACTTATTGTTTTGATGCATACATCTAAAAATATATTTTATCCCCCATTCTATTCTAGTTTTTATCCATGATATTTATTAAACCTTTACCACTGTCAGTTTTACATTATTTGGGTGTTCCATCAGAAATATTTCCTGCTAAAGTTGCCCCAGGCTGCACAGGAAGTGCCACAGCTAGTTGCTACTCCTAATTCCAATTGCATACAGCCATAGAACTGAATAGAAATAATCAGATGGTTTAAAAAAATAGTGTTTGCATAAACTACATGGTAATTAACCAAAAATGTTGGATAATTTAATTATCCTATCATCAGCCCATTAAATAAAAAAAAGCCACACAGAAAAGAAGATCTTTCTCATCCCAGGATTTAATCTTGCAAGATGGAGCAGCGCTGAAATAAAAGCATCAAGATGTTTACATGATGCTTCCCCCGTTCATAAATTTTTATCACTTATTAATAACCTCTCTTGCAAGTTAGGATGCTCATGCATGCGGTGGAAAACCCGCCCAGTGCAAACAGTCCAGTCAGGTGGAGAAGCACCAGCATCACCTCACGCCCCTATGATGATGGTCTTAACAGCACGTTCAGCAGCCTCCCTGGGTGTCGTCAGTTCAAAAGAAATCAACAAACAAACAAAAACAAAAGCTCAGACAGAACCCCCTCTCTGCACATGAAAGTTCTTCTGAGTATTAAGAAAATCATACAAACATCAAAAAGTAGACAGAATGGCATTATTCATCTCCATTTGATCCAACATCAATAAACATGTTACATGTTGGAGATTTAAGATGGCAGCAGTCCACATGCTTCTTGGCCAAACTAACCGTTTGCTTGTCGGTGTGCTCAGAATTAAACTGTTCCTAGAAAATGAAGTTCAAAGAGCGGTCTACAACAGGTAAGACAATAATTGTTCATAACCTTTCAGCAGGACCCCCAACTCTTGTTTTAAGACTCAAGTTTGAGCTGCGAGGTTTTATCATTTTTAGTCGAGTATTATTTTTCTTTGTTACTCTGCAGGAAAAACAAATAGACTTTTTAAATTAAAGAACGTTAACCTAATGTTTTTCCCCCACAAAGAGGCTTGTTAGCATAAAAGTACAGTGAATACAAGAAGTTTTTTTTTTTTTACAGTGCAGTGATGTGCTCACTGCATTGATTAGGGGTCATTACAAGTTAAACTCAATGGGACTGTTCAATACATGGAAAAAAAATACTAGCAGTGCTGTGATTGAAACTTGTCTGAGCAGGTGCTGCAACATCCACCACCTTTATTTACACTCACATTAACTGTGTTTTATTCTTTACATGGTTTTATTCTGAAATCCTGTTAAATCACATTTGAAGGGGGAGATATGTTTCCCCTTTAGTTTTTAACTTGGCTTGACTTAAAGTCGAACGCCACATCTCACAGCCTTCCAGCAGAGTGGAAATATGTGACGGTCAACGACAAACGATGGATCATTTCTGTCTGTTAGTTTAGCTTTTGTTTTTATGAGCTGGCAAAACGGCATCAAAATAAAAACAAAGTGGTGAAAGTCATGAAAGCAGAATGGTGACGTGTCTCTTTTCCTGTTAAGCTGCTGAGAAATGCCTCCTGCTCCGTCTCCTCCACACACCTCCTTGTCACTCCCCAACTTTCACACATACTCTTAAAAAAAGAGGCCAATCTCACACGGAGAAGATGCTGACCCTTCTGTTTGTTGTGCGACCGGAGCTGTCGAAGCAGCAAAAAAATCATCTCAGCCTCTTCCCTCCTCCTGACTGCCGTCTCCAGCCCCTCCAGCGCCGAGATGAGACTAATATCCCTGTAGAGATCTGAGTTATAACAAGTTGACCTTCACATTAAAATCTCATCAACTTCTCCTCTCCCTCTGTACCTCCCCCTCTCCTCCTCCTCTCCTTCCTCCGAGCGTCTTCGTTTTACTCCTCTGTCAGTTCTGCAGTTAAAGCTTTACACTGTTCATGTTTTATTACAACTGCTGACTAGTTACTGGTGATACTGGTGTCTTCACTGTTGTCTTCTTCCTTAAAATCTGTTTTTTTTTTTTTTTCTTATTTCTATTCTGGTAATGGTTAGATGAAGTCATCCCAACTTGTTAATCTTAAAACTTGAATGTATGTTCTTGTGTCCGAGCACCAAATGTTTGCATTAACTTTGGTTTAAGCAGCCTTTTGTCTCAGTCGGTCTTTCTTGAGAGATTTTATTTGGACTTCGGCTGCTTCCATCTTCATCTTCAGTTCAGTACCTGACTGCTGTCAGTGGCGATCCAGGAGCTGTTTTCATGCTTTATGATTCATAGATCCGAGTTAAGTAAACATGAAAATAAATCTGACAAAGGTTTGCTGTTGATCTGAAAAGGAGTGAAAAAGAATAACATTCAACTGGCAGTTCTGTTTCTCTCTGAAGAAACATTCATGCACATCCCACTGGGACTTAAACCTACAATAAAAAGAAAATCCTGCATTTTTTAAATCTAATATCAACTCCCAACCTTTTTCTTTAACATTGTCTTCCATGAACCAAACCCTCGGCTCTCACAGGAGAGTTCTGCATGTCACTGTCACTGTGACATGATCTCTTTTCTTCAGCACCTCCTCCTCCTCCTCCTCCTCCTCCTCCTCCTCCTCCTCCTCCTCCTTTGCTTCTATCTTTGCTCGATCTCTCGTGCTCATCCTTTTCTAACTCTCTCCCTCTCTCGTGCTCTCGCCCTGAGGTCAGAGTGTGCTGCAGACTATTGATATCGTTACTAAAAATATAGGATCCCTCCACCAGTCAGCTAAAAATAGCATAAAAGGACACGGACCACAGGGGACAAAGGAGGAGAGGGCAGGAGGAGAAAAGGAGACGGGACGTTCTTAAGTTACGAAAAAAGGAATCCTAATTCAGCTGCATTCATAATGAAAATATTTACAGCAATTGATCTGCTGCGTTTCTGCCGATCAAAACAGATCTACAATATTTATAGAGCACATTTAAAACGGCCACGTTGACCAAAGTGTCGTACAATAAAACAATTTTAAATAAAAGATGTGAATGGCCAGAAATATAAAAATCACAGAAAAGAGAAGTAAGATGTATTAAAAACAAGGTAAAATGCCTGAATATGGGCACCAAGAAGGGAGGGAGGGCTGGTAAAATTCCTTATAGCAAATAAAAGCCAAATAAATGAATGCATCAGTTCATCTTTGACTTTAAATTAGTTTCACCTCCACAGTTTGAATCAAACTCATTAAACATCTTCTCTCTTTTTGTGACTCTTTGAAGTTTTCACTATAGTTGTGTTTTATTTTGTTAGACAGGTTGTTCTTTTATTTTCTCCATTCTTATTGAAGCAGGAAAAGTCACTAAGCGTAAAAATGTATTTTACAGAAGACAAAAGAGCATTATTAAAATACAGATGTTTTCTTGTAACATTTGAGCCATTTAAACAAACAAACAAAAAACTTTTCTGCTAAAATGTGTGATAAATGTTGAGAGCTGAAGGTTTTTGCTGACAACAGCTGAAATAAAGGAATTAGAACACAAGCTAAAAGCCTAAAGTATGTAGGAAAATATTGGATTAAGTAGCAAAATGCAACAAAAAGTTTAAAGGTACAGCTAAAAGAAGCAAAATGATAACTAAAAGAAGTCAACTGAAA